ACTTTGACAACTCATTGTTTAAACTGAATGACAACTTACATTTGGGGGTTCTTCTATTTTCAAATTGTAAATTATTTTTGGAAAGTGACAATCAGAGATATAAAAAAAAATCAGGAAGCCATACTGGGTATGGAAATTTGGTCAGCAAACAGGTTGATCAAGGTTAGGCAATGCCTTAATGGGATGTGTGTCAAGGCGGATGAGGCTGCCCTTGTTCTGAGGGCATGGTTCTATGGTCTAGATGATATTTTGACGTTAGTTTTCGGGTATTTTTCATTTTGGTCTCTCAGCAATAACATGATTCAATGGATACTCTGCGCTCAAGAGGTGCCAGCAAGAATTCTTGAGGAACTATTTAGAGCTAGATTTTTACTTTAGGCACAGCTCTGAATAAAGAGTGATGTAAAAGCTGAAGTACCCCAAAAGCAACCCTAGGAAATGTTGTGATGCAGACACATGCCACTGGTTTGCGATTTCTCCCCTGATTCCTTCTTGCTCCAGAGTGGGAGGGACGGGGGATGCAGTGATTTGCTGTTGGTCTATATACCACACCAGCTATGCCACCCCAAACATCAACTGGCTCTATCCCCTACTCATCAATGAGTAGGAGATGGAGCCAAGGTGCCAGCCATTTCTTATCCCTCCACACCCACTTGCTTCCTACATGCACAGACCCAAGGCCCATGTAGACTGGTGGGGGGAGGGGAAGAAAAGGGAGGGCTCCTAGGTCCTCTTTATTCCCCTGCACAGGTGCATAGACCAAGTGATAATCTAACTTTCAAGTGTTTTCATAAGGAGAGTGAAATAGAACATGTTGGGTATACAGGATGAAACTAGGCACAACTCCTATCTAAGTGAGTGGGGGGTTGCATCTGCCTATAACAAGACAGTCTGAAATACTATGTAGTTTAATTGTAGACATGTCGGTCCCAGCTCGTCTCTCTCACCCAATAAAGTTCGTCCAATAAAAGCCTGAATTTGGACATTTTGTTTAATGTAATAAATTATAGTTATTTACTGTGATCAAGCATGTGTCTCTGGACAATATGTGGAGAGCTTCCAAAAATCTCAGTTTACCTCCAAACAATATTTATTCCACTTGTGGCATAGTGCTTCTGGAGAGTATAAACAGGCCACAAAGTATACCCCACTCTGTAGCATATGTTGCTCTAACAGAGAAGGGAATATTAGAGGTTATAGGAAGAGCACTTGCATCTGTCTACCCTTAGAGTGTAACTGAAAAATAAATTACCTTTCCAACAGACAAATTCTGAGGTTAATTAGGTGATCACTACACAAAGAATACAAAGTTTCTATTAGGGAATGTGATTTTATTTGTCACAAAAGAAATGTGTCTCTCCACTTTGCCCTAGTCTGATAAAAAAAGAAAGAGTATGGTACAATAGCTCCATTGCCAAGTGTATGATGACTTAATATAACTTGTTCTGAAAGAAAGCAGCCTGTTGTTTACTGCATTTATCGACAATCTGTGAAAGTAGACCAGAAATCAGTCTAATTACCAGGGTGCCAGTTGTGCTTGTTAACACCAGCTTTGTGACCAAATGTTATTCTACAGTTGTCACATCACACGAGGGTTTCATTACTAACATAATAGTGAACAAGATCACATGATGCCCAGCTATTGATTGATCTGCCATACAAAGGAAGGACATAGTTGTCTCAGTTAAAACAAGTCACAGCTTTGGCTGCCTATATTAAATGCAATGGAATGAAGAATAACCATTTCTCTTGTAAGTGAAGTCTCGCTGCCCTGTTCCCCAAATTTCTGTGTCTTAGCCAATTAAGAGCTACAAATTTGCACACCTCATCACTGGAGAAGGAATGAACTCATCACACTTCCACCCTTTTTTAATCTTCAAAGAATAATGATTGATTAGCTCTCTGCAGTTGTATCCAACTGAGGATTAGGCTTTGTTCAACATTTGCTTTACAAAAGTATAAACTTCTGTCAAATCAAATACATTTTAATAGATCCTAGTCACAATTAGGCAATATGGCAAGGCTAACAAAAACACTCCTCATTCTCTCATTGCCCTGAGAGTATCATATCTCAGGTCACAAAAATATTTCACTAATGAGCACCACAAACAAAAATGGACTAAGTCTGAACGACCCTCAGACCCTGACGATATTGCTGGTTGTTCATTGGCTTTACATAAACACTACCAACAGTTTTCAGGCCTGTGAATAATATTCAAAATGAGCAGCCTCAGGTTTTTTTCAATGGATATTATAGTATAAAAGTGGATTTGTTTATCACTGGGAGCATACAGAAAAACAAGCACGCCTCATCATCTTATCAGATGATGAATGATTTATCAGGCAGAACGTGAATCTGCTCCTAACTGAGTCTATTTTCCTGTTTATGCTTGTTGAACAGATACAATTTAATGAAGAATATAAAGTACTTAAAAATCTGTCTACCATTCATAGTTTAATTAAACTGACATGTACTTCAAAAACAGAGACACAGAAAACATTAATTTGGGTTATAAAGGGCATGGCATTATTAAAGTGTAATTAAAACAACATTCACTTACAATTAATAGCTAAGTCAATTTAATTATTTAACATTTGATTGTCAGTTCTGGCTAGACTCCCTACCCTAGGGTAGGTATATTCTTTGGTCCTGTTGTAAAGTACAGTACACTACTCCCCCTGTACTATAGATTCCTCTTAGTTTGGACAAGACCTGAGCAACAACCACAAAAATGTCAATACATTCTAACAGAACCGTTACCAGACAAGACACAGAACATTGGAACACGTGAAATTCTGCAGTGTTGGAAAATACAGGGTTCATACTACCTAAGTGTCAGGTTAAAGCCACAAAAACACAAAGTAGTCACCCAAAAGACCAAATTTTATCTGGCTCCTACCCAGAAACATAAATCCTTCCTCAGCAGTCATGTGATGGAAATTCCAGTGAAATTCAACTTGGATTTGTTCAAACAAACACACAAGGAAACTTAATTTCAGATTCATAATCAAACCCTAAACCAGAAGAGCTTGTTTTTGCATACTTCTAATCAGAATTGAAGCCCCAATCGCACAACCTGTTCCATGCAGCCAAAACCTTGTGCCTATGAGGAATACCACTGATTTTGATGGGGCTTTCTGCAGTCACAAGGGTCCACTCATACAAAGCAGCTTGCAGGATCAGGGTTTTATTCATCACATTTTTCAGACTGTGGATTTTTTCAAAATTATTCAATTGCTTCTTGCTAATTTCACGTGCTCTCTGGCACACTAAATGAATTGTGTTGTTAGTTTTGATTGGTTCCATAAATCACATGGTATGTTTTTTGTTTCCTCATTGAATAATTGAGGAAAAAATTATAAACAAAGATCATACAATGAAACCATATATCTCATCATATAAGAAACGCCTCCCCGGCTACACAGCATTTACAAGCAACATTCATATATTATTTGCCTAGATAACAACACTACAGAGGGTGTTGTAAATTTGACTGTCCATTGTGAAATTTAAGGTGTTGAAGCTTGGGGGCCGTCTGTCTGAGAGACCCACCTTCTTCCCTATGCAGAGCTCAAGCTGGAGCTCCTCTGATTAAAAAGAGGGGCAGTTGCTGACAGTGTAAACTTTACACTTGCTTTAAAAAAAAAAAAAGCCAGAATCTGTAGACCATTAGGGCAGACAGAAAAGCCCATACTTGTCTTAGGTTAGGATAAAGGCTCATGTTTGTTCAGAGGATGGGGTACAATTTGGAGTTCTGTTTACACTTGAATTTGATGTTTTCTGCTTTTTTGGGGGTGATGAGAGTCTTCCAGTTTTCTTCTTGGTTGTCTGATTGTGGATTTAATGAATGCCAAAAGAGTCAGAATCTTGAACAGGTGAGGGGGTTTTCTGGGGCAGGGGAGGTGGGGAGGGGTGTGTAATGTACATATAAAAAAGAAATAGAAAACAATGAATAAGATATGATGCATACCTATATTTCACCTCTGCACTGAGAAATTTCAAGAAAGAAGGGAGTGGCAAATGGTGGGACTTAGTAGAGTTTGCTGGTGGAAAAATCCAGTGCTGCTGCTAATATTAGCTTTGTTTTCCAAAATAATTATTTTATTTTCAACATAGAAGCTATATCAGAGTAAGACCGACCACAGAGTAAATGCACATGTGTGGATATTGCTTCAGACTTTGGATATGGATGCATCACCCCAAGAAAAGTGGTATATTTACAAATGGCAGAATCTATAGCATGCAAATAAAATGATTATTTTGATAAATGAATCTCATTTGGAGGTATGTTGGAGAATTTAGCAAAAGAGTTTGTTATGAAATATTACATTGAGTGACAGGGTCCAAGTTGTAAAATTCATATCAGAACTTTCTTGAAGATCAGAATGAGGATGGGTCAGGATCCAGGGTTCTGGATATGTAATCTCTACAGATATTCAAAAACCCTAAAGCTAATTCTTTAAAAAAAATACAACCCTAAGGGTTGGAGCCTGTCAAGGCAGGACTAAGGTGGACCATCAGAGTAGCTGGAGTGGTAGGTGAAGTGTAGGAGATACATTTTAAAGTAAAATCAAGGGATACCATGGTCTATATACCATGCAAGAAGTTGGAACTAGTAAAACCAGTTTTTAGCCCAAATTTAGCTTGTTTGCTTGCATGCAAATCCCAGGCAAATTGCTAGCCACCTCCCTAATCAGATATTTTCATATATAGAACCAGGCAATTACTGAGCATTACTTTCTATATGGTTTATTTTCAGTATGAAAATTAAGACATTTTATGAAACTCTGTATATCGTCCTCTTATTTAAAGACAGTTGAACAGATGATGTTTTCCAGTTTTAAAATATGTTTCAGACATCATCCCCTTCAAATATCAACATATTCTTCACAAAGTTACATAGAAAGCCTAGAAGTCTACAAACCATCAGTAATGTAATTACAACCAGCATTTATGAAAGTATATCGATCTCTATTTCTGTTTTTAGAAGTGCAAAAATCACATTAGAAAACTATGGGTAGCTAATTAAAGCTTTGTCACCCACAGGACCTAGGTGAATTGCATTTGTTGCATTCTCTGATATAGAAGAAATCTTATGAGAAAACTTTCAGAAAGTATGTGATCGCACAATTTGCTTTGCTATTGAAATCAAGGCATTGGATGGGGATTATATTACTATTATGTTTTTATCCTTAAACTAAGCTTGAAATGTCACAGGAGCTGAAATTAAAGCAGAAGCAGAGCAGGATATTGTTTGGTATTTACATATTAAACGCAGTCAAAAGGCAGTGGTACTATTGATTTTTCTGATACAAACAGATTTAGAGTACTGATAAAAGCCACTTGCTCGTTGAGCTTCAAAAATCTAGATGATTTCTTCTCTGCATAATCCAACAAGGTTAGTCAAGCAACTTATTTACTTTAATACTATGGATATACAAGGTATATATTTAAAGGGACACTATCAGGTTTTAATGCATTTAAAAAAAAATCAAATTTCTTCACCTTTACTAAAAATACTTTAAAATTGAAATTTTAAAAATTGAATTTAGTTTTTACTGTTCAAGATATTTGTTGCATTTCCCTCATCTGATTAAAAGAGACTGATCCGTAAATATAAAAAACTGTACCTAGAAATGGTTTGGGCCTAGTGTATGCTCGGATGCAAATATTTTTTGTCCTTACAGTTTCAATGTCCCAACACACAAGGATGCTAATTAGGGATGGGGAAATCCTCTCTTTTTGAAAGAAAATTCCCCTAGATTTTACCAAATCTATGGAAAATGACTCCAGACACCATCATTTGGTGTTCTGTATTGAGACCTTGCCTGTCAATATTCTGGGGTGCATTCTAAAGCTGTGTTTTGATGCCTTAAGAAATTCTTATTCTCTAGGTTTAGGGGATGACTTGGTAGTGAAAATATCATGACAGCAGCTGCAATGTCTCATAGCAACGTCAATAAAATTTCACAAGGGCAGTTAATTCCTGCAATATTTCAAATTACTGTGAGTGGAGACAAACAGGGGGAAAATGAAGAAACAACAGGGAGAATGAAGACAGAGAGATACAGTAAAGAAAAGAGAAAGAAGTAAGACTGAGGAAGAAAAACACTTGGGGAAAGATTATGAAATGAAGTGGGAAAACTGGAAAAAGAGTTGGGAAAACAGAGGAGGGAAGAGAAGGATGGAAAAGAAGGAAGAAAATATTTGACAGGAAAAAGTGGAGATGGTTGCAACACACAAAAGAGGGAGCTAAAAATAGGGTTGAGAGAAGACAAGGTGGGGACAAAGGGTAGAAACATAGATGTTAGCAATATGGAGCAAAAATATCAGTTAAGAGAAGCGAGAGAATTAGACGGAAGGAAAGGTAAATTAAATGCAGAAATCCATAATAAAGGGGGACAAAACCTCAATCGAGCTGCACAGAGTATACAAAAAATTAACTCTGGAGAGGTCTGTGGAAAGCCAGGGGAACACAAGGAAAGGAGTGCATACATTCTTTACCTTATGAAGCAGGGATACAGACGAGCAGAGCCTCTATTTATAGCAAACCCAATAAATAAAGCAAACATCCAGTCTAAAGGACCTGGAAGGAGAAGAGGGACATTACAGAGCTATTACTTTCCTCTCACAAGCAAAATAATCTGTTCCCTTTGTATCCTGCCTTTCACATCATGCGGGGTAAAAAAGCAAAACAGAATTTACAATTATGGATTATCAGTATCCACAGTCCATCTGCTTGGTTTAACCACAACAGAATGTGTGCATGTGCATTCAGAGAGATGGGTATCATTAGACCAATGAAGTTAACCAATGTATAAAAGCCAGATCAGACCAGTAATAAAGTTTGTGCTTCATTATGGATGTTGAAATCCTGGTTGAAAAAAAATCTATTCAGAAATATTAAGCTTCACAAATTTTACAGTCAAACCATCTCAACTGAACATTGAGGAATCAGCTATTTAGAAGACTACAGCTTCCAAGATTGAAACCTGTACAGACATTTACTATATAAATTTACAGAATTAGAAAAACTGGACATGTTAAAATACATCAGTATATTCATGGCTGTAAAATTATTGGATTCATGTCTCATCAAATTTACATTGTGGAAACTGAATATAGTATGATTAGGCATTATTTTAACAACTACATTACAATACAATTTAAAATAAAATGGCCCTTCATATCACACTAATATCAGTGTTTTAAATAACAAAGGGGATTTTTTTAAATAAAGGAAAGGATTAGCATTTAGTTTCAATCAGGATAAGCAACACTATACCAGTTGGTGTCTCGGAGATTCAGGATTTTATTAATATTCCAGAGATGCATTTGTGTTGCCTCTGGGTACACTGAAAAGCCACTTAAACTGCACTTAAAGCAGCACTACAGGATCAAATTGATGTGCATCAACCATTTACAATAAAACTTGATTATTATAAAGGCATACATATTTGCATAATTACATGTTTGATTTTTTGATAATGCAGCATACACTACAAAATGTTGCTTCATGTAGAAAGACATCATCAAAAAGCACCATCTGCTGTAGTGTTTAATGCATTGCAGTGTTTGAAAAATTCTGAAGGTAGATTTCTGAAGATCAAAAAGGAAAACAAGAGTTTTCTTTGAACAGGAGGTATAGCGCTGGAGGCTGGAACATGGTGGAGATTGGGCTTTTTGTTTAGTTTGTTTTAAAACAATATTTTCAGAAAAAGAGGACAAAAAAGCAGCATATCTCATTACAGTTCTGAAAAATTTAGGCTTCAGCAATGGAGTGCATTTGTGTGAAAACATCAAACATGTATTAGACATACTAAATGTAATAAAGTGGTTGTGTCTGGAAGTAAAGCAGTGCAGGTTAATTGCTTCGGAGGTTGATTACCTTTGCTGAAGAAACACTGAGCATCACAGTGACTTAAAATATATCACATAGAAATAGAGATGGAGATGAAGAAAAATATTTACATTTGTTCAAAACAAAGGAAAAACAACCTCCTTCTGCCCACTGGTCTATATATTAATAATAGCATAACTGTTAAATAGTACATAAATTACAAAAGCCTGACCCTAAAATCATGCAAGTAAAAGCACCTTACAAAAATGTGAATAATCTATGAGTGAGGAGCATGAAGAAGTTTCAATGGTACACTGTAGCTCCATGGGATCCCAATGTCCTAAACACTGTGCCTTAGGAACTTCAGACGGGACTACATTAATGAAAACTAGGTATCTTTTAGTTTGCACTAGAAGCATCCACTCAGGGGAGTTACAGCACAACACTTTGGCACGCTGCAATTCACACACCTCTAGTCTGAACTATGGGATTCTATAGACAAGCCCGAAGCGTATTAAGCCTTAGGACACTCTTAGTACGCAGGCAGAGTGTTCACATGGGGAGTTAGTGCAGAATAGCTTGGGCGCTTTAAATTCACATCCTAGCTCACAGTGCATTAACTTCCTTGGGTAAACAAGCCCCCCACCCACCTCTCCAAACGTACACAATTCTTAAACATGTCAGTACCAAAATACAGAGGTACCCATTTATCCGTGGTTAGATATTTTATTACCCACCCACCCTCTAAATGGATTTAGCCTAGACTACAGTATATGTTCTAAATGATTGAGAGGTCTTTCCTGATTTCCTGGCTCTTCAGGAAGCCATTTTGAGACTATGGGAAAGACAAATGTCTCATTTATTTATAATGTAAAAATCAAGGCGACCCCTAAACAATAAGAAAACTTTAAAAATATATGTTAGTACACTGCCCAACTAAAGCTATAACTCTGGTTGGTTGGGGAAAGGGTGCTGGAGAAAATGAGCAAAGCAATAAACAAACGAAAAAAACCTTAAAATAATTAGTTTTCTTCTTCTGCCTGAATCTTCTGGTGTTGATGAGTTTTCCTCTCACAGGCTGCACTAAACATTGCTAGAATCAGCACTGCAATGATTGCTAAGCACTGTCTCCTTCCCCACCCTCTCTGCACTAGCTAGACAGGATTTTTCCTTTCATACATCATTTTCAACTTGCTGCAGTGATTCCACAACAACAGGAGGCTCTAGAAAGTTAATGAATAGCAAATTATTTTTTTTGTATTGAAGTTTCTGTTCTAATGTGTAAGACTAGATAGACTGAGTGGTTGAGCACATAGGGCATTGCCACTGATTTCATTTTCATTGCATGGCACTGACAGGCCATGACAGCAAAGTCATTCATCTCAAGTTAACAAATCAAAAGAAAGAGGGGAAAGTGTTTTTTGTTTGAACATTCAGAGCTACAATATTTAGGGCAAGGCACTCGGGGCATTGCCTGCCCCTGATTGTTATTGCACAGCAGTGACAGCAAAATTATTTAAGTTCCTAATTAAGAAGAGAACTGAAGCAAAATATGTTTGGTCTGAATATACTATAATATCTAGGGACCATTCACTATATCATAATAAGCTGCCTTAGATTCTGCGTCTCCACACCAAATCTATTGTACCAGTCAGTACTAGCTGGTATTTTGCAAGTGTCTTTTTTTTTTAGTTTTGTTTTATTATTTGGATGAAATCTCATCTTGCTGGTTAATGGTCATGGGCTAGTAGTTTATAAAGAAAATTAACTGGAAAGAGTGAAAACATTAAAAAAGGAAAAAAACAGTAACATTCCTTCCTAGGGTCCCTGCTAACTCAGTGTCTGTATTCTATTCCATTTCCACCCATATCACTAATTCTAATGCTACAGTAGATTTCTGGACATCCAGAGAACACTTTCTGTTGAACAGCTTATTGTCAATATTGTCCAGCCACTTGGAAAAAAACTGGTTACACAGATCATAGTATATTTGTTATACTAACCTGCACCTGTTTATTTTAATGACGAGGGTGGACAATTCAGCCTTCCTTCTCCCCTGAACAAATGGCTAAAGAACTAAGAGCAATAGCTGTTTGATTGTGAAGCAGTTAAGGCCTAAAAAACTATTTATTGTGAACATAATTTCTCTCTTAATTAGTGTTTGTTTAGAAAGGCCATCTTTGCATGGTTCCTACCTCTCCTTTAAGTAATACTTTGGTGTGTAGGCAGTAGCACTGATAATGCAGCTCCCCTATATTACTTCTAGCCAATTCAGTTCCAAGCCATGAACCGTGACTTCTGCTTTTCTGCTAACTCTGTTCATTTTAATGTTACTTTTTCCTTCCCTACCATTCCATTCAGTTTGTTTCATCCACCTATGGCATTTCCTCTGTTGTACAGAGTGTGAGCTCCCTGGGGCAGGGAATGTCTGTTATGTCTGTCTAGTGTCTAGCCCTCAAGAACACTGATCCTTCGTCTTATTCCTAGACACTACAGTAAAACAAATAATTAAGAAAAAATTGTAATAGTCAATTACTATTGATGGGGATTACAGTGGATGAGAAGCTGGATATGAGACAATAGTGTGCCCTTGTTGCCAAGAAGACTAATGGCATATTGGGCTGCATTAGTAGGAGCA